ATATTTTCAGATAGAAAAAATGATGCTCTATTGACATTTATTCTAAATATTTAGTTTTATATTAAATCATGGTATCTAACCAGACTGTGTCCCATAATTTTTAGACTCAAAAAAAAAAAAGAAAGAAAGAAAGAGTTTAGTACATTTTGCAAGGAGCTGAAGAAGATATCTCAGTGGTTAAGAGCACTCCCTGATGTTGTGGAGGACCAAGGTTAGATTTTGAGTATTCACAACAGGCAGTTTACAACCCGTTATAACTCCAGTTCTAAGGAATTTGATGTCCTATTCTGACCTTTATGGACATCAGGATGCACATTTATATATGAACAAGAAATCATGCAGGGACACACACACACACACACACACACACACACACACACACACACAGACAAAATAAACAAAAATAAATCTTGGGGGCTGGAGAGATGGGACTGCATTAGTACAGTGTACTCATCTTTCAGAGGACCCAAGATTACTTCTCAATTGCCTCAAGACCTCTTGTAAATTTAACTCCAGGGAACCGAACACCCTCTTCTGTTCTTTGTGGCACCTGCACACATACTGACAAACACACACACACACAATTTTAAAAATAATAAAATAGACATACATGCAGGCAGTACACTCATACACACAAAATAAAAATAATAAATTTTTTAAAAAGAAAAAAATGTTCATATTATTATAAACAAAATGTGATGGGCAAATACTTTTTTTCTAAAGCCTGTGCCTTTTAAATTCTGAATCCATACAGTCCATAATATTTAAAATACCTTCAAAATTTGCAGTTTACATCAATTTATTTAATATGTTAATTTCAGGTATTTTGGACTATTCAAAAATGTTTATACCCAAAACTCCTTTTTATCACATATAAAGAATGCCTCTTTTTTTCTATTTACAATTCTATGTATAAAACTTCAGTCTGGAGCTAATTACAAATACATGTAATTCTAGGACTATTTTCTTTAAATGCATACATTCTCAAATTTTCTATTTTCCAAATTATTTTGCTTTCTAATGTTAAAATAATAAATTTCTATCATTGTTAATAAATGTCTGTTTAATATCAACTAGATCTTTTTGAAGAATTCATCTAAATAGTTTGCAAAAAATACCTTTTGTGCCTTCTGTCTGAAGATCAAATGTGAATTTCTTTCTGAACAAGGACATGACACAGGAATGTGACTTTAGTGCATTATTGAAATCCTCACAGCAACTCCCCTTCATTGGAGTTGTGATTCTTATTTCCCCTGAAATGACTTGCAATGTTTTTATCTCTATTAAAAAGAAAAATGAAATATGCAAATAATTTATATAAATTAATTGTAATTTTTGTGTACACAAATTAATTAAATGAGATCTATTCACTAACTGCTTTTATATAGTTATGCATAAATGGAAAATCTTAACTATACCTAAACAAAACAACTGCAATAGTTTTCATAAAAAATATGTTTAAAACACCTACTATCATCAGTTTCAAATATTAGCAACTGTTGTGTGTATGCAACCCACCTATTTCTATACGTTTACCTTTTAAAATCACACTACAAGTCATAATAACAATGAATTGGCCCATGTTATTATTTCTATGATAGTTTTATTTGCAAATAGAGTTAATCCATTTCTAGTGAGGGACTAGGAAAGTATCACTTACTAGATTCAGGATCAGAGTTGCCATCCCCTTCGGTGCGGTTGTTTGGTGCAGCATGATCAAAGTACTCCTCCTGAGGATAGCCAAGAGGCAGGGCATGGGATGTGCTGGGAAGGCTGCCTGCATCATGCTCTCCCAATCCAGCATCACTGATGCTTTCCTGAGAGCCTTCTGGTAGGTGAAATGTGACTCGTCGCTGGGACTGAAAGGAACAAAGAAAATGACAGGGTTTCAGCAATGATCTGAATAATTGCTTAATGGATCCAATTTATAAAATGTATTCTTTTAGCTCTCTGGTGAAGCTATAGTAAAATTATCTTGAGGTGTGAACAATTTCAGGCTTTTGTGAACAGGCTGCTCTGTGTTCAAACCTGTTTCACCTGGCAGCAGAGTTGCTTCTATTATATTTCTAAACAGAACAGATCCAAATACAGAATCCATGTGAAGATATTCTAAAGAAAGAGACTGCCAGGCTTTATGCTGTTTGAGCACATGGGAATATTTGACTATCATTTAAGTGTAGATTTACTTAACAACATTTGATAATAATTCACTTTTTGAATCATAAGACGGAATAACGTAATTAATCTGTGTTGCTTTATCTGTAACATTCTGAAGGACTGAAATAGCAAATTTATAATAAGGCAAATTTCAATTATGTAATTTAAAATTAAAAGTAAAGATTGTATTTTAGAATAATATTGGGAGAAATCAGGTTTTTATGTCCCTCGACTGGGTTGGATTGAATTAGAAATAATTTAATTTTATTCTAAATAGTCACAGACTATGGCTGGCTGTTTCAGATAATTTTAAAAACAATTGAACCAGGTATGGTGGCATACACCTTTATTTCCAACACTCAGGAGTCAGAGGCAGGTGTTTTTCTGTGAGATCAAGGATAGCCTAGTGTACACAGCAGGTTCCAGGCCAGGTGGGTCTACAGGAATTCCCTGTATCAACAAATGTCTCTTGCTACCATTGTAAGTGGTAATAATAACAGAATATAGAGGCTTTAAGTAACTAAGCCATAGAGATGGTGCACAAAACTTTGAAAACAAGTGGTATATGACATCTTTGAATGGAAATTTGTATACCAAGTTCAACATTATTTTTGCTTTCAACATCATTCTACATAGTAGCATCTAGGATACCAAGAGAGCCTCTTCCACGGAGTCAGTAAAATACGTGATCCAGTTTCTGCCTTCCTCTTTTGCAGTACTCAGACCAGGGGGATTCAATTATGTTGAAAGATCTGTACTCCAAGGAAGCCCAAAGTAGAAATGTGGAAAGACTAGCATCAAAAAAAGACAGGATAGAGACTTGAGAGTCCAAATTCTTCTGGTATAATTTTCATATACATGTGAAGAATTCATCGTAGACATTCTATCTAATAGCCCCATGAGAGTATCACAGCGACCTAAATATTTGAACACCTTAAGAGAAGTGACACTAAATGTAAAACACACATATTCATTTCTATTGTGCAATATACAAATTTTTGATGTACAAAATAAGAAAGAGTTTGCTTTTTACGTCCTTCAATTTTAGCGCTCTTTTGCCATGAACATATATTAGACAATTATTAAGGTTGCCTGGGTAAACAAAAAATTACGTGTTTATGACATATTTTTATGATGCAAAGCAAATGCTTTTCTGAATTCAGTTTAAATCTTCAGGAATTTCTTCGGTTGGAAATGTGGAAACACTTGAGTATCAGTCTCCCATCCAATAAAGTATCATATACAAATACAGATGCGCGTAATAAATGTTTAATTTGCATCTACTTTATTTTTAAATGCACATTCCATAATGTCTTCTTAATATATGAAATGACTCAAGTATAATGAATTCTGTTTAACATGCTTGTCTATATAAAATACTTTATGTATTTTAATAAGTTTGTTGACTTTCTAAAAATTATAGCCAGACAAGAACATTTCAGGCCTGTTAAAAGGATTAGCTGGTAGTGTGGTGGAGGTAATTTTTAGCAAAATTATTATAGCAGAAAAAGGTTGACTATTAGAAATCTGCTCTAACAATTCATTATGGGAGAGCAAGGAAGGTTATTGTCTTGATTTTACCTCTTTTATAGTGTATGGGATGTTGCACAAAGAAGTTGTGGAGAATTACATTATGTTATATATTTAAATTATGGTTTGTTTTGCAAAACCTAAGCATCGCTCGGGGAAATTTTAAAGAAGATGTAATCTTTCTGCACTTTTTCCCACTCATTATCCTTCTCTCTATTATCCTTTATAGAGAGCACATAATGAAAAAAAAGGAAGAAAGAAAAGCTTTGGGTCTTCTATAATCACCTTTATAATACAGCATAATCTGAATGTCACACAGTCACACAGACTTTTACATTTACACGCATCACTCACATAAGCATTTAATCATGCTAGGAGACACTGACATAAATGGATTCCATTGCCTATCAGTCATTCTTCTATTTATTAGTACTTTTATTTATTAGTACGATATTTAATGGGGTTCATTGAAATAAACAACATTTTATTCTTCAAAGCACAGTATTTTATGATAGTCTATAAAATTTCCTGCTGTATGCTTGAAGTTTAAAAGTACTATGTAAGTCTTAATATCCTGCAATATATAATTTCTATTTTGAAAATTTTGCCTCCATATTCATAAAAATTAAACATAATATTATCCTTAGATCGATGGAACTATTAAGACATAGATAATACAAATAATGGATAAATTTTTTCTGGAATTTTGACAAAAACTAATCATCTTCTAAAACCCCTCTTACAACTATCTAGGGAATAGACCAGTAAATTTATTTGGGAATGGTCCGATAGTAAATATTATAGGCTTTCTGAGATAAATGATATGGTTTGCATCTCAGCTTCTCGAATTTAATCTCACAGCATAAAATAGCTATACAGCCAGTTATGTAGACATTAATGAGTTTCCCTGTATTTGCATTAAACTATACTGAAAGACATCAATATTTCAAATTTATATAATCTTATGTGCCTCAAAATGCTATCTAAACTTCTAAAATATTTTATCCCACAGGACATTTTCTTAAGTAAAACTATTGGAATTCAATTTAAATTAAATGTTTCAAAGTCCTCTTAAATTTATCTTTTGATGTTATACGAACATTTAGCTCTTTTTTTTCCCTACCATTGCTTTAATGATTCCTGCATCAGATTGCTTTTTGTAATTTGTAACACTGATGGATAGAACTGAACATTAAGAAACTATATTAACTTTAATAACTTCTGAATCATAGTGAATATTTTGAAATTTGGCATAACTCATTTTCCATTTTTTTGTTATTTATTTATTTATTTATTTATTTATTTATTTATTTTTGCATTGCTAGTGCTTGAATACAGTGCTTTCACCATGATACCTATGTGCTTTAAGGCCAAACTATTTTACCATCCCTCCTCACTCACTTTGTAATGGATGAATCTTTAGCATCTGATGTCTTTTTTGTTTTTTGTTCCTATTCATAATTCATGGAAAATACAGATCTATTTTTCTTATAAAAATACAAAAAACTATTAATGATTTTATGGCAATACTTGTTTAAATCCCACAGAGTAAAAGATAAATACGTTTCTTTTTCATGTGTTGAAAAATATTACTGTGCAGTATAAAGCATCTATTATATTAATGAAAATATAATAATTTATGCCTGTCTGGAGCCCTTTAGGAAAGCCATGACATACTAATTACAGCAAAAGTATTAACTGTAATTGTGGTTCTATGGTATGGAAATAAATTTTGGATTTTTCATGAATAAATGATTGCCCTTTATAATTAGTTATGTTCCTGTCAAAACAGGGAGAAATCACGAGGATAACTGTACCTAAATCTGCATCCCTTCTTTGTAGCTCAGATCAAAGTTTCAGCACACACTCATGAATAATACAAGTGTTGCTTACCTGAACTATTCACAGGAAATATATAAAGTCCCTTCTATTCTCATGTCCACTATACTTAATGAAGTTGTAATTCCATATTATATATCAAGTGAATATCATTACATTTCTATAACATGAGACAATTGACAATTCAGAAAGGTTAATGTGGCACCAACATGTCTGCAATGCAGTTAGGCAAGCCTGTGTTTCTCATTACGGAGTGCTTGAGTATCCTGTTCCAAAAAGTTCATTAGAATTATTTGTCAATATTTTCAAACTTATTGACCATCCTCACACTCCTCCTGGCTGTAAGACTAATAGACCTTGAGCCAAGCCTTTTTTTTAGACGGTTTCATCATAAATAATTATGATTACAAGGGTAATCATAAATATGCTTATTGCTTCTCTAAGGATTACTGTGGAACAGGACAGCTTTGATTCATATATAAAACATTGTGAATATTCAACTACTAAATTTTAAATAATTTTTTTTCTCTAATAATCCAACAAATCTTTCTGTATGTCTGAAATATCTGTTTCCCCATAGGAAAGTTTCTTAGCAAAAATAATTTAGAATTACTTAGCATATTCGAAATTAAATTTTGAAAATAGCTTAGTTTGAAACTAAACTCAAAATTTTCATCAACTAGCTGGAGAGAGATCTCCGCAGTTAAGAACACGGGCTGCTCTTGCAGAGAACTTGGGTTTGATGCCCAGCATCCACATGGTGCCTAACAACTGTCTAAAACCTCAGTTCCAGGGGATCCAATGTCTTCTTCTAACCTTTGTGGCTCTGCACAACACAAGTGCACGTACGTACGTGTAGACAATACACTCATAGACATAAAATATTTTTTTTAAAAATCTCATGAGCACTACAAGAACCGAAGGAGACAGGAGGCCTTTTTCATTTTGTATCATGTCCATCCTACTGGAACATATAATTTGTGGACTTTTGTTTTGTTTTTTGGTTTTTTACTTTCCCAATTCAATGTATTAGCTGACCAAATTGTTTTTCTTCTTCCTGAGTTTCAGAAAATTTTAATTTCTTGTTTTCACTTTCACATCATAATTCTAAGGTTTTAACTGTTCAAACTTTGCTTGTGTGTTTTTATGTCCCTCAGTATAATGCAATATGCAAAGGAAAATTTAAATTGTGCTCAGTTGTTCCAGAATGAAGTTTCTCTTAGCTCCGACCACTTTTACTTTGCCATTAAATCATCTTGATACTTTGTGTGTGCATGTGTGTGTGTGTGTGTGTGTATGTGTGTGTGTGTGTGTGTTTGAGTAAACATAATTC